CATTCCCGAGTTCCATGGTTCTGGCACGGTCGCTCAACTGTCATATCTGGCTTAATTATCTGATTTTATACAATTATGAGCTTATGTGCAAATTTTAACTTTTAGCCGCTTTTATTATTATTACTTTTAAAAAAGACTTGCAACGTCGTGAAAATGGGTCTTGAACCACGTCACATCAATGCACCCGTGGTTATTGACACATTTCGACTTCGTTGAGATTTGGATTTGGGTCACATAATTATGTACCCGAGTTTAGGGAGATAACATTATTAAATACACGCCTAAAGATGCTAACGTGTTATTATTTTTGAGAAAAAGCCGTGAAATTCGCTATATGACCTATCTCGAAATCTAAACATTTAAGATAACCATCTATTAAGGGCCCCGCAATTTGTGCGTTTTATTTGGCGAGGCTCATCTCGTTTATTTTAAAAGGACAACCCTAAAGTGACTACATTTTTCTATTAAGTTCATCTCTAAAATAAAAGAAAATCTCCAAATTGATTACATGCTTAAAAAAAAAGGACGTAACTTATTAGTTATTAGTTTAAGACAAATGCAAATGGAAAATTGCAATCGAGCTTGTACAAAGGGAAATTGTTTCGTATCTTATTCTATAAGTGAATATTACAAAAAATTGAAATTATAAATAGAATACAGAATTGAAAAACAATAATATCAAAACGAAACTAATTACTCTCTACCAATTTAGACCCACCTTACTAGATGAATTGAACTGCCAGAATTAATTGATTACAACTATTTGAAATTAAAACCAACCTTAATTACTAATGCTTGCGAAAGTTTGTTAAAATTTAATCGACACTTGGAGAAATCTATTACATTTAAAGGAACTCTAACACGCCTTGTTCGAACTCAACTCATGCCTATTGAATTAATGACCTTAGCTTTACTACATTGAATCAAACTTCAAATATGGCAGACCTACTGACTCTACGAAATTACTGGCTAATTATGTTTGCCTAATACTTGCGGATCTTTGTTACTAACAGGACTCAAAATCACAAACTTCAATTTATTTCTAGTCCCGTTTTCGTGAGTTCAAAGTTATACTTTACCAATCAACTAAATCGAAACGATTCTCAATATTAACTATTTACCAATTCAAATGGCTACAGGTATGAGGAAAACTGTTCAAAACAGCCTAAGATAGTCCTAAGTGTAGTCCAAGCTGGTTCAATATCTAGTGACTTATTTTGATTTATGTGAACTAAACACTAAGTTCTAATTTGCAAATTATTATATGTTGTGGTCAATATCTAATACATAACCCAACTCAAGTTGAATGTGATTTTGAACTACCTTATTCTGATAATATGAACTAACAAAACTGAAATTATTTAACTATGAAATTCATACAGACACACACTAATAGTTTAGCAATCTAACAGTTTGTTCCAATTAAACACACATACTGAACTGAACTGCTATTTGAAGGATTCAGTTCAGTAGTCCGACATCATACATCACCTAATTGCCAATCAGTGATTTAAAAGCAGTCCTGATTATACATATATCTACCATTCATATAACAGGAAACACATAACTAATATCGAATAGAATGCAAGCATTCTATAGTTTGAACAATAAATCCTCTGGCCATTTCATTTCAGCTTCAATGAGCATACACCAAGATGATTCAAAGTAGTGTACCTGGAATCGAGAATAACAGAAGAAGAAGAAGAAAGGCAGGTCAGCAGCAGCAGTAGTATACAATACAGCAACACCACAGCAAAGAGTAGAGCAACAACCAGCAGAAATAACACCCAGCACAAGCAGTCCAAAACCCAGGAGTGAAACCAGAAAATACCAAGCTATTCACAGAAGGTACAGAATGTATTCAGAAATGAGACAGGAGAGTAGATTTTCTGATTTCTGTTCTTCAGATTCTCAAATAAAGATACTTAGAACCTCAATTAAATAGTAACAAACTGATTCTGATTTTCAGTAGTAAAGAAGACCTCACTTTTCAGTATTTAGCTCTCAACCTATTGAACTCTTTAGGGTAAAAACTCAGCTTGTATTTCACTCTTAAACTCTGAATTTCTGATGTCAAAATCCAGCCTAGACTCTCTGAAAAAAACTGAAAGAAAACTGATTTTTCCTCTCCAAAAAAAACCCATCCCCTCAATCTGTCTTAAATGACTCTATTTATAACCCAAAAACAGGTGTGCTATCTCTGCCTTGAAACCATCAGATTCTAACTGCCCATCCCCCTTTGTATCCCATTACTTAATGTCTTCTTGTTTGAAATTATTTTGTTCCCCACACTTGTATGCCTTGTTCCCTATTGTTTCAATCAAAATTATGGGTTATTATAATATTCCTATTAACTCCCACACTATCATGTTATGTTCCCCATTGATATTAAACTAATGGTATCTATTATCCACTGAACAGACCCTTAAGTTAGTCCACTTGCAGACTTGTTAAATCCCAAAATTACCCCCTTAACCCATGTGTATTACTGCCCTGCCCTAAGCTTCATTGATCTGTTATTAAAACTCTATAAGTTGTAACCCTAACAACTAATTTCTAATTGATCACTAAATTACTACAGCTATAAACCAATTCCCACTACCAAATTCACACAGTGATTCAAAGCAGAAGACCAGATCATTTCAAACATGGCATCAATCAAAGGGAATGAGCTGATCATATTGGGAACCAATCCTGATCAACTCAGACCCAGTGATTGAGCAGGGATTCAATAATACAAGCCAAAATTGAAGCAGTATGAATCAAGGCAGGAGGTTCATGCGAACAACTATAAAGAACAGGAGGTCAAACCAAATACAGGGAATGAGCACACACAACTCTAATTCAAGTATACACAAGATGCAGGATGGTAAACATACTGGTATGAACCAACGGTTGAACTATTATCATGTTAACATAACATTCATGCCTAAAAGACTAATCGACGACGCTTATTCAGTTGATTACACATGCTATAACATTTAGCATTTAACAACAAACAATTGGAATAAACAGGCCAACAAGTGATTCGAGTGGTATTGACAAAACAGGGATTTATAATAAAACTTAACTAATCGACGAAACTCATTCAAATCGATTATATAGTTTATCATATACTTTACCATGACCAGAAAAAGTTCGACCAAATAAAAGGTCATTGAAGAAGGACAAAATCAATCGACAAAAAAAATTGAAAAATCAATAAAACTAAACAAAACAAATAAACAGATATAAACAAATACAAAATGGAACAAACAGGAAAGGAAAAATACCTCAAGAACTCGGAAACTGGACGACCCTAACTTGGACTCTGACTCGGACCTTTTTTGAGGTCGAACGGACCTTAATCGAGTGTTCTCAACTGAGAACACTTCGACTAAGGTCCACTAGACACCCAAATTCCTTTAATTTGGACAAACTCCAGCCTTTGGTTTTCTAGGGTTCTTGGGGTTTGATTTGGGGTTCGAACGGTTTTAGCCTGATTCGAACCAAACCAAAGGTGGTTTGGTAACGAGGGAGGTTTGGGGGCGTTATGGTGTGAGTTTAGGGCAGGTTGGGGTAGTTTCAAGTTTTGCTCGAATCTTTGATTGAAGATTCGAGAAGCTACAGGCTGATTCGAGCAAAACATATAAGGGATTTTTAGGTTGAGGGCNTTCGTTCATGGTTCGATATTCTGGTGTCCTAGGCGTAGAGGAACCACACCAATCCATCCCGAACTTGGTGGTTAAACTCTACTGCGGTGACGATACTGTAGGGGAGGTCTGTTTGGTTTAGTCTCTGAGAGAGACGAAGATAGGGGTGTTTGGTTTGGGGGGCGGGGTATGGATTAGGAATATATAGTATGGGGGGAAATGATCCTGGGCCGTTCGATCTGATGAGATCAACGGCTTGGATCCGTTCATTAATGGAAACGACATCGTCTTGCTCACCTCGAGATCGGATCGGTCTTTAGATGGGAATGGGTCGGGGCATGGGGCGATTTGTGGCCGTTGGATCAAATGAAATGAACAGCGTGGATCAATTGGCCTGATACGGCGTCGTTTCGGTTAGTCTGAGGGCAGGCTGGACCGTTTGATCTTGGGAGATCAATGGTTCAGATTTTGCACATCAAAACGACGTCGTTTGGGTGGTCTTGGAGACTGACCAAATTGGAACGGGTGAGGGGTGTTGAATTGGGCCTGGTTTTGGGTTGTTTTGGATGGCCCAATTCCGATTTTGTAGGTATTTCCACTTGTTTTTGTTTTCTTTTCTTTTAATTTCTAATTAGCAAAAAATTCTACAATAAATTCTAAAACCAAAATTAACCTACAAAAATATTAATTAACACTTAACTACAATTAACACACAAAATTTAACACCAATTAAAAACAAAAATCACACAATTGTACACTAATTGACAAAAATAGAGCAAATACATATTTTTGTGATTTTCTTTCTTTTAAAACCAAAGTATGGTTTAATTAATTCCAAAATGCACAACTAAATCCTAAATATGCATGCAACATGTATTTTTTGTAAGTTTTTTTTAATTAATTAAACAAAATAAACACTCACAGACAAAATAATTATGAAAAATGTCACACGAAATTCTTAAACTTGTACCCAAATGACATTTGTTTTATTTTTCGATTTCTTTTGGAGTAGTTTTCGTGAACCAAAAATCACGTGCTCACAGAAATAAATCACGTATTTTTAGAACCACAAAATCAAATATAATTGTAGTTACCATTTTCAAAATAAACAATTTGGCGCCCACCGTGGGGCTAAGAATAATAGTGATTATTTTGGTGCTAGTTTTCTGAAATACAAGTTATTCTTCACGGTTTTCTTGTCCAAGGATCTTTGATTTCAGGACAAAAATGTCTAACTTGGCAAATGCACACGAAAACAACAATATTGGGCTTCATGGAAAGAACGGACCAGAAGAACCTCAGCACATCATTCACATGATCATTGGAGGAACCGACGTCCCATAGGGACCCATGTTCAAACGGGCCAGAATGTCCATCACAGCGGAAAGGCAAACTCGGAGCTATATACCCGAGGACGCCCTTATATTTAGAGAAGAAGACATCAAGGCCTTGGCCCAACCACATGATGATGCACTGGTAATTTCTTTTCTTTGGAATAACGTTCAAATTAAACGTGTGCTCGTGGATCCAGGTAGCTCGGCCAACGTAATCAGGTCAAAGGTGGTGGAGCAGCTGGGACTGCTCGACCATATCGTACCCACCTCTCAAATCCTCCATGGATTCAACATGGAAAGCGAGACAACAAAGGTAGAAGTCTCCCTCCCAGTCACCATGTTCGGTACAGTTCAGGACACCAAGTTTCATGTCATCGAAGGTGACAAAGGGTACAATGCCTTACTCGGAAGACCGTGGATACACAACATGAGGGAGGTACCATCAACTCTTCACCAGATGTTGAAATTCCTAACAAAAGACGGTATAAAAATGGTGTACAGAGAACAATGTGCAGCAAAGGAGATGTTCGTGGTAAATGACGTGGCACCAACATCGACTCCCCCCGTCCAGGACGGGTCAGGAAACGGGTTGACCCCCGAGAAATAGGTGGTCTGCGAGCATTCGAACGTAGACGACAAAGAAGACTTCCTCACTCCTTGTACCTTCATTGCCCCCGAGGAATTGGATGCAACAAAATTAACGATCGAAGAACTCGAATGGGCCGTCTTAATCAAGCATCTTCCAGATCGAAAGGTATACCTGGGAATGGGATTAACCCCCGAACTCAGGAAAAAACTCATCCAATTTCTTGTTAACAACATTGATTGCTTTGCTTGGTCCCATTTAAACATGATAGGGATCCCACCGGAAATAGCCACCCATCGACTGAGCGTCGATCCAAGGTTAAAATCAGTAAAGAAAAAAAGGAGGCCGCAATCGGAGGTAAAACATGCGTTCATCAAAGACGAGGTAACAAAAATCCTCAAAATAATATTGATTAGGGAGGTAAAATATCCCGAATGGTTGGCTAACGTAGTAGTGGTCCCCAAAAAAGGAAATAAATTAAGAATATGCGTAGATTATAAAGACTTGAATAAAGCATGCCCCAAAGACTCATTCCCATTGCCCAACATTGATCGCTTGATCGATGCCACGGCCGGCCATGAGATCCTCACTTTTTTCGATGCCTATTCCAGGTATAATCAAATTCAAATGAACCCAGAGGACAAGGAAAAGAATTCGTTCATCACGAAGTATGGTACATGCTGCTACAACATAATGCCCTTTGGACTAAAAACGCAGGAGCTACGTACCAACTCCTAGTTAATAAGATGTCCGAACATCAAATATGACAATCTATGGAAGTTTACATTGATGACATGCTAGTTAAGTCCCCGCGTGTGGAGGATCATTTGACTCATTTGCAGGAAACATTCGATATCCTTAAAAGTTACAACATGAAGCTCAATCCCGAGAAATGTGCCTTCAGAGTAGGATCGGTCAAATTTTTAGGCTTTATGGTGTCGAATAGGGGGATCGAGATTAACCCCAACAAAATCAAGGCCATTGAAGAAATCATAGTGGTGAACAATGTGAAGGCCATACAACGGCTGACCGGGCGGATAGCGGCCTTAGGCCGATTCATCTCAAGGTTGTCAGATCGGAGTTATCATTTTTTCTCCTTGATCAAAAAGAAAAACAGCTTTGAATGGACTCCGGAATGCCAGCACGCTTTAGAGGAGCTAAAGCGGTATCTCTCGAGCCCGCCTTTGCTCCACACCCCAAAAAAAGATGAAATTCTATACTTATATCTGGCCATATCTGAAGTAGCGGTAAGTGGTGTGTTGGTTCGAGAAGAATAAGGCACGCAATTCCCTGTTTATTACGTCAGTCAAACTCTAGGAGATGCTGAAACAAGGTATTCCCACTTAGAAAAATTAGCTCTTGCATTAATAAGTACATTTCGGAAATTAAAACCTTATTTTCAGTGCCATCGTATATGTGTTTTAACAACATACCCTCTTCGAAACATCTTGCACAAGCCTGAACTATCGGGCAGATTGGCCAAATGGGCATTCGAGCTCGGAGGGTATGATATCGAATATCAACCTCGGACGACTATCAAGTCCCAAATTTTGGCGAACTCCATGGATGATTTTATACCCCCCCTCGTGCCCGAGGTAGAGAAAGAACTCTTGCTAGAAACGGGCACATCATTGGGGTTATGGACCCTATTCACCGACGGTGCCTCGAACGTAAAAGGGTCCGAGCTCGGTATCATTTTGAAACTACCTACGGGCGGCATGATTAGGTAATCTATAAAAACTTTGAAATTCACTAACAACAAGGCCGAGTATGAGGCTATGATTGCAGGTCTCGAGAGCCTAGGAGCAGAAGTCGTCGAAGCAAAATGCGACTCCCTCCTGGTAGTTAACCAAGTGAATGGGAGCTTTGAGGTTCGAGAAGACAGGATGCAAAGATACTTAGACAAACTTCAGGTCATATTGCACTGTTTCAAAGAATGGACCCTGGTCCACATTCCCCGAGATCAGAATAGTGAGGTCGATGAACTCGCGAACCTTGGGTCGTCCGTCGAAAAAGATGACATACTCCCAAGGGTTGTTGTACAGTTGTCCAAATCGATGATCGAAGAGGGCCATGCCGAGATCAACTTGACAAGTCTGACATAGGATTGGAGGAACAAATATATCGACTTTTTGAAAAACGGGAAGCTGCCTGTAGATCCAAAGGAATCGAGGGCCCTCCGAGCCAAAGCAGCTCGATTTTCACTCGACGAGAATGAAACACTATATAGATGGACCTTCGGGAGATACCGATTATGTACTTTGAGAAATCCACGAGGGCACTTATGGAAATCATTTCGGCGCCAATTCTTTAGTTCGAAAGGTGATCAAGGCAGGATACTATTGGGACAGCACGGAGAAGGACACCAAGGAATTTGTTCGAAGATGTGACAAATGCCAAAGGTTTGCGCCGATAATTCACCAACTTTGTGAACAGCTACATTCAGTCTTATCACTATGACCGTTCATGAAATGGGGAATGGACATCGTCGGCCCCTTACCAACGACACCAGGTAAAGCCAGATTTATTTTATTTATGACTGACTATTTCTCGAAATGGGTGGAAGCACAGGCCTTTGAGAAGATAAGAGAAAACGAAGTCATCGAATTCATATGGGATCACATCATATGCCGATTTGGGATCCCTTCCGAGATTGCATGTGATAATGGGAAGCAGTTCATAGGAAGCAAGGTGATGAAATTCCTCGAAGATCATAAGATCAAGAGAATCCTATCAACGCCCTATCACCTATGTGCGAATGGCCGAGTCCACAAACAAGACCATCATCCAAAACTTGAAAAGAGATTAGAAAATGCGAAGGGAAAATGGAGAGAGGTATTGCCCAAAGTACTATGGTCATACCGAACAACTTCAAAGTCAAGCATAAGAGAGACACCGTTCTCTTTGGTATACGGGTCCGAGGCTCTGATACTGGTCGAGGTCAGAGAGCCAAGCGCCAGATTTTGGCAGGCCAGTGAGGACTCAAACAGCAAGGCCATGACTATAGCCCTCGAGCTACTAGATGAAAAGCGAGAGGCTACATTAGTCTGAATGGCCGCCCAAAAATAGAGGATCGAGAGATATTATAACAGGAGAACAAACCTCTGATACTTCGGAGTCAGTGACTTAGTCCTAAGGAAAGTCACCCTCAGCACTCGAAACCCAAATGAAGGAAAGCTAGGCCCGAGCTGGGAAGGACCGTACCATGGAAGGTGAACAACTTCCAAGCAATTGGAACATATCGATGTTCAAACGTTATTATTGCTAAGGTATAACCTCCTCCCTTTTTCGCCTTATGACTCACACCGATTTCTTACAGGTATTGGACGAAAGACGCCGAAGCACCCTTTGACTAGAAAACCTTGGGTTTTAAAGCATTCGTTGCGCTCTTTTTCCCTTAGACCGGATTGTTTTCGGAACGGGTTTTACCGGCGAGATTTTTAATGAGGCAACATCCATATGCTACCCAAGGAGAACTCACTAAGTATTCAAAGCTTCTCTTCGATCAACCCCAACTACTTGGGGGGCATCACCCCAGGAGGTCACCTCTTCAAAGAACTCAAACTATGCCTAGGAGGACCTCGATAGGAGAATGGTGTATTGGGACAAACAGTCGAATGAATCGTGTCCATGTAGAATAATTGGGCCTCCAAAGGCAAAAAAACATTTACGCATGCATCAAATAATTGAGGAAGACTCTTTGCTTATCCAAACACTCGAAGAAATTCAATACTTTCTCGCAAAACGGATCAAGGGCCAAAAATCCTCGAACACTCGGGGACTATCATCGACAGTCAGCTCGACGAAGCCATCAAAAACTCGAGTTCGTAAGACCTTAATAAGGAAATTTTGAGATCGTAAGACCTCAGTGAGGCCGCATCAAATGTGTAAGACCTCAACAAGGCATGCCCGAGCTTATAAGACCTCAACAAGGCATACTCAAATTTATAAGACCTCAATGAGACAATACCAAGCTTATAAGACCTCAACGAGGCGTACTCAAATTTATAAGACCTTAGAAAGGCATAACCCCAATATAAAGGCCAAAGCTATATATTTGAACTTGTAAGACCCCTAAAAAGAAATACCCTCGATATGGACGCCAAGGTCACCACACCCGGGGATCAAAGGCTACGGCCGAACAAATGACTACAGTCGAACTAAAAGGCTACGACTGAATTAATGCGGCTCGGAGACGTCCGACTTTCGCCATAAAACAAAAGGCCTCCAAATACTTCGAAAGTACTTCAAAAAGAACCGGTTAATCAGGCTACTCTCAGCATAAGCAAAGGAGCTTCGATAATATCAGCTCCGAACAATAAAGAGGCTTCAAAAACAATCAGCCTTCAATGAAAAGTTTTCGAAAACTCAACCTTCGAGCGAGCCTCCCGAGGTACTCAGCTAACGTCACATATCGACTCATAATCGAGGTTCTCGTTTAAGCCATCGAAGAGTCGGACGAACATAAAAATTACCAAGGCATAATCAAAACTTCAAAAGTATTTAGCCAAAATGAGGGGAAAACTATAGCCATATTATAGGTCGCATCGACCCAATCTAAAAGAGCCTAAGGGCCAATGCGTAAGAGCCTTAGGGCCAGCCTAAAGAGCTTAAGGACCAATGCGTAAAAGCCTAAAGGCCAGCCTAAAGAGCTTAAGGGCCAATTCGTAAGAGCCTAAAGGCCAACCCAATGAGCCCAAGGGCTACCCGAGTTCGAGCAAGCTCTCAATCGGGGACTATTTATAAAGCCTCAGGGCTATATTTATTCCAAGTGCGAGCAAACGCTCACTCGACTATTGAGCCCAAAGGCTGCCCGAGTGAGGACTTAAAATAGTTTAAAAGTTATCTTCGTTTTCGAACAAGCAAACAAACGCTCACCCGGTTGTTGAGTCCGAAGGCTACCTGAGTTTGAGAAAATTCTCTCTCGATGACTACCAACGAAGCTTAAAAGGGCTAGCTTTATTTCAAAAATCAAGACCCGGCTCCCACTCAACTTGGACTCAGAAGTCCCAGTGACCTAA